TTACATGCTGACCTCAACTCTGATGCCCGTGCAACCCTTGCCATGGAAGTCTTCAGCAAGCTTGTCCAACCAGAGTTTTACCGATGGCAGAAGGCACGTGGACTTGACTGCTTGTTGGATTACGTTGGCACAGTGGACCAGGATATTGGAGGAGGACGACGCCACCTTTGGCACCGATACCTTTACAGACCAACGTCCCAAGATGTTTGCTTATCCACGTGGGAGACGGCCTACCAGGGCAGTTGGTGGTACTCCCTCTGGCTGGTGGCAGCTTCCGGCGTGGTCCTGGCGTCCGAAGACAAGGAGCTCGGACACGACTTCAACAGTGTCTGCGGTGTCTTCTGCTCGCCGAGTCTCAAAGTTGCCGAGCAGTATGCTCGCCCAGGGAAGCCCTTCCCAGACGGACTCTACCATCGACTCGTCTACGAGCTTTGGGTGCAGCCAGGAAAGCGCAGGAAGCGCAGACATGGCAGCACCGGGAGCCAGTGGATCTTACAACCCGACCACGTCCGCCTCAAAGCAGTGCGGATCAAGATCGACTCGCCACCGGAGCATCATGTCGAGGGCTGGAGCAAGTGGAAGCCCTCTTTCGAAGCAAGGCCCAAGGATGCTTTTGAGCAGGGGCTGCCGGGGCCGGTAGACATCAGCGACCTCCCGAAAATCGAAAGCTTCCAAGAGCCGCTTCTGCCAGCAGAGTCAGTAGAGACTTCGGAGTTCGTGACTTCTGCTCCGAGAGCTCCGAGCCCGGCTCCTCGGACTCTGCAGACTCCGAGACAAAAGGCGATGCCCAAGCCCAAGCAGAAGGCCATGCCAAGAAAGAAAGGCGTGGAGTCCGAGTCCGTGTCCGAGTCCGTGTTGCCCTCAAAGCCTTGGCCCAAGCAGAAGGCCAGGCCGAAGCCGAAGGGCCCCCGGGAGGCCCCACCGAAGGGCCCCGAAGGGGTGCCGGAGCCAGCAGAGCCTCCTCGAGCGCGGGGAGCGCGGGCGGTGCCCGAGCCGGCGGAGCCGCCCCGAAGAGCTCGGGTGCCAGAGCCGGCAGAGCCCCCGCGAGCCAGGCTGAAGTGGCCGTCGGAGCAATGGAGCTGGAGCTGGGCCTCTCAGCGGCAATCCGGCAATGGATGTGGATGGAAAGGTCTTTGTACGTCTTGATTTCTTGTTGCTCTTTGACCTTTTTCAGTTCTCCTGAGCCCATTGCGAGCATTTCCTGCACGATGGAGCTCGTGCTTTCTGCTGTCCAGATTTCGCCAGATCTCATGTCAAGGGTCGATCGCCGCGCGGGCGCCGCAGGCCGTGACGGCCATGACAGAGCCATGGCGACATGGTGGTTGGTGTACTTACTGATTACACATGTGCGGCATTCGCAACCATGTGCAGCCCCTGCATCGCACCAGGCGACGACTCACCAGCTGGATCACGTCCTCTCGGGCGCGAATCCAAGTTGTGCCACAGCACAGGAGCGATGCCCAGAAGAGATCGTCCAAGCCTTCGGCCTCCAGCAAAAGGGATAAAGTCAGCGAACATCGAAGAGTCTGTGATCCTGCATCGTCGGAGTACCTTCGGGCGAGGTGCAGCTAGAGCCAATGCTAGACAGCCTAAAAAAGTGTGCCTGCGCTGGAAGGAGCTCAGCTTCGTGGAACCGCCTCCATACGAGAGAGCAGTGCGGTTTGGTTTACGTCATGGGTTCGGGCTTTGGGATGGCTTTATGATGCGGAAGTCCTCAGCCTTTGAGCCCTGAAGCCTGTTTGGGTTCAGACGCCGTGGCAAGCGTTAAATCTCAGAGCCAAGCCAACAGCCGTGCACGCCTATGAAATCCTTTGAACCCTGAACCCTAGGATACCGGAAGTAAGGTCGAAGGGTTTGAGGTATCCGGATGGAATAAGCGCGGAGTTGAAGGCTTCCCCCAAATGCATCTCTGGGAGGTGGATCCCATCAATGTGCAGGGGGCCACGCCTTTGCACGTGGCTGCTGAGCAAGCGCAGTTTCTCGGCGAGAACGGCGAGGGAGAGATGGCTTTCCCGAGACTTCCTGGGTGCTTTTCTCATGCTTCCCTACAAAGCCGCAATAACGGGGGCGCGCCTTTCGGCGCCGGGGGCCTAAACCGCCTCCTGGACCCCGAAGTGAAGTGAAGAGAGAGAGACAGAAAAAAAGGCCGGCTAGCCCTTCACCCTAGCGTTAGAGAGAGAGAGAGAGAGAGAGAGGGAGGCAACTCCCCACCACGGCCCTGGCGAAAGAAAGAGAGAGAGAGAGAGAGATCTCTCCCAGACTCTAACCCGTAGCAAAGCAAAGCAAAGAGGTCTCTCGATGCCCCGGTCATTGGGATCCCAAAAAACCGGCCACTCATTAACACAACGGGTGGTCGGGCGGGCCTAAGGCCTGAGGGTCCCCAGCGAACCCCTAAGCCCGGCAGAAAGAAAAAAAAAAGAGAGAGAAGACCAAAGGCCTGAGGGTCGAGTGATCGACCCCTAAGCCCTGCAGAAAGAAAGAAAGAACGAAAGAAAGAGAGTATCTTTTTGCCGGCATGCCTGAGTTCTTCCCCCACGAGGCCCCGAAACAGGGGTGACAATGGGGGAGCAACACAGTGACCTACATGTGTGGTTTGTGCCGACCCCGAACACTGACTAACCTCCCGTGTCCCGGCCTCATCCCCGCGCCCCTGAAGCTACTCGTCGCGGGCTTGTAGTTTTCCCAACCAGTGGTAGAGGCCCCATGCATTTGAGGAGCTGGTGCAATCATGCATCACATGCAGTTGCAGAACAATAACCACCGAGGATTTTCCCCAGCTCCCAACGGTTTCTGGGCTTGCTCGGCACGTATGGATAAACACAGGGCTTGCAGTGGTTTTACTTAGGACAAACTGTGTCCCTTTTGCAGTGGTCACTACTGACCCCAATGCCGCCCACTCAATAAAGCAATGGGTGGTCGGGCGGGCCGAAGGCTTGAGGGTCGCTAGACGACCCCAAAGCCCGGCAGAAAGAAAGAAAGAGGTCAGCTAGTCTGACTTGAACCCAGCGGATGAAAGGAAGGGAGAGAGAGACAGAGAGATATTAGGTGGTCGGGAGCTTCGCTTCTATGCTCCGTGTTGAAGTAAGGTGATCATCATATAAATGGACACATGGGGGGAATTCCTCCCCAAAAGTCTGTGTGGCCCCATAAAAGTTCTTTGACCTGGGGGAGAAAGCATGCAGTTTGGACGTCTGCATTATATTGACACCGGATCAGCATGTTTTCTTAGCTCAGACTTCTTTGTCGAGGAAAACGTACACTCGTCATGATTCCGTTATCGTATAATTTACTTCACACCCCCTAACTTTCATTGACAACATGCGGGTGGGCCTGTGGCCCGGAGTCTTAGTCGAACTCATGCCCGGGAGCGAGAGAGAGAGAGAGAGAGAGAGAGAGAGAGAGAGAGAGGGGGGGAGAGACCAGCAACAGTCGGGGGCGCACCTGCGCGCGGTGTAGGGGGCTTGCCCCCTGCACCACAGCCCTGTCATCTTTTGGTCAACATGGTCTGGATGGACCGTCTCGTGCAGTTTTTACGACTCCAAAATGCGCGCGGGGGGCCATCAGGCAAGCGAGAGGGAGACAAGGGCCCTTGAAGGGTGAAAGAGCCACAGAGCGTGCAAAACCAGCTGCATGTCTTGCTGAGGCTCGAAGCGGTGCAGCTTCTTGTGGAGCTTGGCGCAGAGCTGAACGCCACCTGGCTTCGAGAGGGGGCGGACGCGACACTGCTCCCCTGAATGGCTTTAGATTCCAGGTCCGAAACGGTGCCGGTGAGACACCGCTGATGCTCGTCTGCCGAAAGGGGCACGCACAGGCAGGCGAATGGGATGGTTGGCGAGTCTCGCAAATGACACCCAGTGCAGCCAGCCTTTTGCGTGGCTTTCGAGGCGGCCAAGTTCTTGCTGGAGATGCGTGCTGACGCGGAGGCCCACGGCATGTGCCTGCCCAGCACCGGATGTTCTGGATGCTTTTGCCGAAGGCAGGGACGAAGCTCGGGGACACGCCGCTGCAGATAGCGCAGCGCCTTGGCTTCCAGGAGCCCAGCGCGGGACCAGCCGCCTCCCTCCGCTGGCTCCGCTTTTCTTCAGGAGACGGTGCACGCGCTCTGCTCCGCGGGTGCCCCGCTTCGGCCAGGGACCCCCAGCCGTGCTCGGCCGAGGAGCCGCGCGGAAGGGAGAAGAGCGGAGGGGCACTGTTGGCAAATTCCACGTTCTCGACAAAGGAGTCCGTCGCCATTGCCTCCGCGACCAAAGTCAGGCGAGAGTCCCAGGCCAGAATCCGCTTGCTCGCTTTTCGAGCCACGGTCACGAGCGCGCGCGACTCCGAAGCTGTTGTCAGGCCAGATGCTCCCGGAATCGCAGGAGGCATCGTCCCGTCCGGGTACCCGCCACCAGCGCCGCGCAAAGGTGCCTGAGTTGCACAATTCGGAGTGTCTGCGAGATGAGCAAAGCCACATTTTTGTAAGAGTTTGCAAGGTGCGCCACCGATACCGAGCGGACCGAGCCAGCCTCGACCGCCACGGCCATGAGTTTCCAAGACTACGAGGTCCTCTTCACGGCGGGAGCGTCGATTTCTCTAATCGTCGCCGTGGCCGTGGGATGCACGCGATGCAAACGCATCCCTGCATCGCCCGAACAGCTCAAAGAAAGCTGCGTGGTTTTCCTCACAAAAAGCAGAAATGTCCCTGCCGCTAAGCTGTGTTTTTTCCTGTGCCGAGCCAAAATCATCACCGAGGCAGGGAACGGGCTAGGAGCGAGGCAGGGTGCCTGTCCTGTGGGCTTGGAGTGTGGGCAGCTTGTGTGCATGTGCTGTGAAGCCGTGGCGAATGTCGGGAGGTGCCGAAAGGCTTGTCGCCTCTTTCCGAAGAGCTGCAAAGCGCAGCGCTTCGGGCATTGCTTCAACGCGGAGATGCACAAAAGAATCCTGGAATGTCGTGGCGTGTCAGTCTATTTATCGTCTGAGTGTTTTCTGGATGCACGCGGGTTTCAGCTGGGATCGCGCAGGCTTCGTCAAGCCCGGTTCTCAGCATCTTAGCAAGTTGTGCTTTTCGCACTGGTTCTGCAGATTCGGCAGCCATCATGGACGAGTTTCAGCCGGGATTTCTGGGATCAGTGAGGTGTCCTGGATGGAGGGGCATCTCCGGCTTCACCCAAGGCACCTCAGAAGCCGAAGACGGCACCACACCCACAGGCGCTTCCTGCAGAGCCGGAGCTCCCGTGCCCTGCTCTCCTCTCTCGGCCAGCTCTCACAGCGAGACCACGATCTCTTGCAGCAACTCCACGCGCGACACCAGGCCAAAGCGCAGGCGAAGGCCCTGCAAGGATGTGTGGAGCAGCAAAGACTGCGATCTGCGAAGCTCGTGCCAGGCTGGCCGTGCAAAGCTGCCGCCTCAAGTTGCTTTTTCAGGGCTGCAGGTGTAATTCTTCCTGCAACCCTGCGACAAAGGTCTCCGCACAGGGGCGACCGTGGCAGCTTGTCACCTAAGGCCTGCAAGAGATTTGGCAGTTCATCCAGCCTTTGAAGCACTATGTGAATGAGGTGCACAGCCCACATGCTTCGTCTCCATCTGTCGCAGAAGCGGAGAACCAACATGCAGCCACAGGCTTGGAAATGCCAGCACATTGCAGTGACCATCGTCAATACTTCTCTCCGTTGTGTTGCCAGCTGCAGCGGTGGCGGCAGCGGTAGACGTCCAAGACGGTCCGCAATCACAGCATGCGGCTGAGCAAGATCTTGCGGAGGATGCAGTCGTGGCTGTGTTGTTGCAACGGATGGATCTACACGAATGCCTTGCAGGTGGCCGGAACTGGAGCCAGACGCCCTGCAGAATGAGGTAACACCAATCAAGACTTCACTAGTTATTGACTTATTGACTATACATCTTGAGACAAGCAGTCCTCTGTAGCTTTAGATCAGGCCCCGGCCGGTGCTTGACTTCGCATCCTGTGCAGGTTGCAGCCCGCGAGGTGTCGATGCAAAAAAACAGTGCCATGTTTTCTGCTCGTGTAGCAATTGGCAGACTTGCCTGAAAGGTGGAGCTGCGCGTGCTTCGGCAGGAGCTCAGTGCCAGGAGCCAGGAGGTGCAGAAGTCCACCGCTGCACCTTGCCATGGCATCGGGGTGCGAAGAGCGCAGGTGCTGCGGCTGGAGGAGGAGATCCACGAAGCCGAAGACCAGCTGCGACAAGCGACAGGTGCTCCAGTGAGGGCTTCGAGGGCGACTGGGAGCGCTGCGTGTGAGTGATTGCGCTGCAGGGCATGTGGGGACGCTCTCGGCCAAGGCAGGATGCAATGGCTCTTGCACTCTTCTGCTTTGAGATGTACTTTTTAGGTTGAAGCCGCATCCGGCAGCACACAGGCGGTCCTTCAGGCATGCGCGAGAGGCTTTGTGCATTGGTGCGTAGTTCCGACGTTTCGGGAGCGCAGGCCTCCGCCAGGCACCTCGACACACAGGCCAAACTGCACTGAGTTGCTCCTAGCCGCCTAGCCGGCAGCGGCGTGTGAGCTTTGTGGCTTGTGGCTCGTAGAGCCTTTGCGACTGCACAGCCGTTGCTTCTGGAGCATGAGCATAGCAGGCATAGCAATTGTGCATTTTCTGCATGTTCGCCCACTTCAAGACTGTTTCGTTGCTAAAGTGGGGAACATCTTCTAAAGTCGACAGCGGAAAATAATGTTCTTGTAGGCCTAGCACGTGTGGTGCATGCCATGGGCTCAGCCGGCTCTGCCGTTCCGCCAGTCCCACCGCTTCCACGGGAGAAGGTGCCGCTACTGTTGGTAGATTCTGCGGCTAAGCCTCCGTCTTGTCTTGTCTTCATACTCTGCTGGGGGGGGGGGGGGGGGGTAGCTAGCCCTAGCCACGCCCCGTTTTAAGATCCCCCCCAGCCCCGACCTGCCTCCCGAACCCCAGCCTCAACTTTCCTCAAAGCCTGCCCATACTACCCTATACACACATTCTAGTAATAATCTATCCCAGAAACTCAAGCAACCCGCCAACTCCTACCTTCAACCCGCAACCTCAACCAATCCCGATAGAATATTACATAATTTTATGTAATATCTTATCCCAGTAAAACGGGGCGAACACCCTTGTAGAGTTTATGCCAAATGCTTGACACATTTCCGTGATGCGAGATACACCTGGATGCACGCTTTAGTTCTCTACCTGATATGCTTGTACCGGATGTTATTTTCTAGAGAATGGTCCTGATACGCCTTCATTGTAGTCAAGCTTTCGACCTCGATGCTGGCTTCTTGCGGAGAAAGTCACCAACAGCAGCCCAACGGCTCACCAGGCCTGTTTATTGCTGCGTCTCTTATTGTCTGTGCTTGCATTGCTTGCGTTCACAGTGCAGATAGCGGCCAATTTGCGATTGCACGGCCTGTTGACAAGAGCTTGGTTCAAGTTTCAACGCTACCATGTAATCAATTGTTGTTGCGTGTGCTTTCGCCCATAGCATCCTGTGTTGTGGTTAGGTAGGACGTCCAAAGCATGATCATCATTTTAAGTTCTTTCCACTTTCTCGGTGAAGATGGAAGATTTCAGCGGCGTGGACGACACAGCGAAGGACCTGCTGGCTTGGGTGGCTTGCCGCTTGAAGGGTATGGATCGAGATGTCGTCGTCAAGGTGCAAAACTTGCTGTCCAAATCTTCCAAAATGCTCCTGCTGGAGTACTCGCGAGACGATCTCCTCTTCTTGCTGCAAGAAGAAATGGAAACAGCAACTGCCCGCCAGATCACAATCATCCTCTACAGCGGCATGCGTGGGGGCTCCGGACAACCTTCCGAAGCGCCAGAGCTTTTAATTGGCCAGGCGTTTATTTCATTTTCGGGTCATCTTGATCGCTTGCTGTTGTTTTGGTGGTTTGTAGCATCCGAGGTACTCTCCGACAGGTTCACGAAAGCCACCGACGCATTGCTGATGATGCTCAAAAACATGATCCAGGTGAAGCCCATTGAGGAGTCATCAGCCCACCAGTATGATGTCGCGGCATGGTTTCGTGGCGTACAGTCTTACTGCTGTGGACCTGCGCTGAAGCCCCGGTGCAGCGTGCTTGGTTGTGACGACTCTGATTTGCTGTGGTGCCGCATCCACGTTGCAGACGCAGAGTTGCAGACAATGCTTTACGATATTGGTGCTGTGGCTTCTGACCGAAAGCCTTTGGTAGTGCACAGCAGTTCAGGCGAGTGTGAAGGCCTGAAGATGCAACATTTGCATGGGCAGCTGATTGCAATTCAGAAGCCGTACATCAGGTCGCTCTTTCTAAAGAACTTGATGGCTTGCACGCAGAACCCAGAACTTCCAAATCCGCTGCATAGATTGAAGGATTACATTTCCATGTGCAGCTCACTTGAGAGGTTCAGCATGGGCATGGTGCTGTCAGCTGGCGAGCCCGAACAACGTGAGGAAACGCAACCGGAAGCGCAACCTGAAGTGTTTTCCAACTGCATCCTCCATCGTGGATAGGTGGAAAGTTGCGTGTGGCGAAAGGGGAAAGCTCAAGCTCTTCAAACCGTGGACAGGGGAGGGCGACCCTTTTGCCAGAGAAAGCTACGAGAAGGAGGTGGTGCAGCAGAGCGCAGCAGAGCGAGAAGTCGCAGGAAGTCAGTTTCGTCGCGACGTGACAGACCGCAAAGCTCCGGTGTTGACAACACACGCGATCACGAAAAGTCAGTTGCTTGCTTTCTTAACCAGCTCGGGCATCCAGAAGCAGCATGGCAAGTGTGATTAGTATAGGCATGCGCCAAGGACTTGAGTGGCACCCTAACCATCATGAGCGCCCTGCGAAACTAGCATAGGCACCCT